TGTGAAAAGTTTATCATAAAAATATAAAATCATTTGAAGAGCTTATCCAAAAATTAAATCAAGGTCAAAAAGATATATATATATATATATATATATATATATATATATATATATATATATATATATATCTCTTTTTGGCCTTGATTTAATATATATTGATTTATATATATTATTGTGCAGCATATCCTCTTAATGCTTTCCTGGTTACAATTGTGATGCAAATGTAGTCAAATATATATATGTTGATGAACTGAAAACAATACATTCTTTATTCAAAATTAAGTATTACATGTGAGATCATGTTTTTGTCCCATCTAGGCCATTCTCAAGTTCAAGATATAAAACACCATAAACCACTATATAAAGCACATAAGCAAAGTGACTTAGCAATAGAAGGAATCTCCTGAAGTCGCTCAGTGATGACATGAGTACGTGATATCGGAGAGTTACCATAGAAACCCGATGCTATGTGAGATGCAATTACATTAATAAGTGTTAGCTTACATTAAAAAGATACTAAAAATATAATAGAAGTGAGAGGCTGCAAGCAGTGTAAAACCTTAATTAACTTGAATCAAACCTCTGCATTAACACAAAAAAAAAAGTGTGAATATATAAAAACACAAGAGTATATCTAAAATCTCAAGTCTTTCCAAGGGAACAGGAAAAGATGATAGTCATGCGTGCATAAAAAATTGTTTCAGCTCAATGCACTTTGTCCAAAGATTTAGACAATTTTGGTACAGCAGAATTTTGCCCATGTTGTGGTTCGCTTGGCTGAATTCTGTTAATGAAAAAAAATTTGTAAAATTCAAGCAGCCAAAAAAGATAAAAGAAAATGTTTATTGTGCTGTAATGCAAAGCTGGCTAAAATATTGCTTGGCCTAATAGTTACACAATATCAGGCATTTTTGCAATGTCAGTACTGAGTTATTAATTTGGATTAAAAAAAAGTAAGTGATAGAACTTTTATAATAATTGAATGATTTCCTTTTGGTATATTGTATTAATAAAAAAAATGGTGAGCAGTACTAATTTTAAATAGAAAAAAGTGAATTCTTCTAAAAATGAAACAAAAAAGTCTGTCACTCCCCCCCTGCTCTCACCTGTCCAGCACGCTCATGGAGTCCAGAGAGCGGATCCTTGGGGGGGCTGCTTTTCCAACGGTATCTGCAACATTCTGAGAGCGGATCCTAAAGGGATCTGACTCTGCTCCCTGCTGCAAGACCTCCATTTTGATTGTGTTAGCACTCCTCCCATCTGCTCTTCCAGCACCTCACTGCATTCCAATCATGATTAGTCACTGCGCGGGGGGCCATGTGGAGGTCGCCATCTTGCTGAAGCAGCGCCATCATGGAGCCCGGCTCTGACTGAGAATGACGGATCAAGGCAGTGGAGAGCAGAGTCAGATCCTCTGAGGATATGCTCTCAGAATGCTGCAGGTGTGCTCGGCAGGTAAAAGCTGGGGGAACCGTGACAGAACCACACCACAACCTCAGGGTGCAAACGTAGGTTGGCCAACCAGGATGTCTAAGATGGAAAGCTTTCCAAGACTTGAGAAGGAAGACGTGGGACACTGGATGGACCTGATATGAGACTGGAAGGTCCAAACATATGTCAACTGTGTTGATAACCTCCTGACAAACTCACGGCTCACTCCTGACACATTCCCTCCTGACAAACTCCCCGCTATCTGAAATACTCATGGATTGTTTGCACCTTTCTATTGGCTTTGTGAATTGCATTCTTCACTATAAAATGTAGGATGTGTGCAGAGCAGTGCACACCTACAAAGGAACCCTGTCACTTTGACCATGTTAGCAGCTCTGTCAGTGACAATGGGCCAAAAATGCAGATTGGTGCCTGCCTGCTCTCCCAACCAATTTGATAACATTTATCTTATTGTCTGCAATACGTTTCTCACACCTGTTTTTGCTGTTGATCCAAAAGTAGTTAAGTGCGCCCAATTACGTACAGCCTTAGTAAGTTGCTTCTTTAATAGGAGCATGCAAGAACAGTACAGTGACTTACAAGGAAATTATATGGTGTTGTGCAAGGGCCTGTATAAGCTGCTCTATGGGCTACATTTCTATTATGGAAAATACAGCTATCCCTACAGTGATCAGCCGGATAATTAACAGCTTGATTTTGTGAGCTTGCTGTTTTGACATGGCCCCGACTTAAAATCCAAGACAATGTTCAAGAGAGGTTTGCGAGGTGGACACATACCTGAGATAATGAGCACTGGGAGTCCATGTTGCCTAATGGTACTATATTTACTTTTCATCCTCTTCTGCATAAGGTTGGTAGTAGTGGAAGGTACTGATGGCAGTAGTTGGTTGCAAAGAATCAGATACAGTACCAGTGGATCTGCTGCTTGTCCTGGAACTTTCTATTTCTGCTTCTTCCCTCAGTAATACAGACTTGTGGTGTGTTTGCAAATGTTAGTTCATTTTTGGACTAGTAACTAGCAAGTGCACAGAAGGTTCAAAAAACAATGGACTGCTGCCCCTACCCTTTAGACTCTTCTCTTGTAATTCTTCTGTATCTGCACTCCTAGAGCAAACTTAAACACAATTCTGCAATGGCAATAGGGGACAGAGAGACATCATAATCACCAGAGTCTGCACCACCACAACCACATGGAGACTAGATATTGGGGGCACTACTTGGGTACTTTGCTCTACCTCTTCAGTAAAAAGTGGTACTGATGGCAATGATAAAGTCTCTGGCGAGCTTTCCCTTAGTTAATTCTTGGGGGCTAGAATAATTGGTTTTACCAAACCCCTTGCTCCAAGCACCACAGAATGCAGAAACTGTTACATTTAAACAAACTGTGTCCGAAGGAGCTGCAATGCCAATAGTAGTGACAGCACAAGTTTCAGCATTAAAAGTATTAAAAAAAAATGCTTCCTGGTTGGAGAATGGACATGCTGCTAAATAAAACTATCCTGAGGATGAATACAGCTAATAATGGTAGTGAGATGGAGGTGGTAGTGGAAGTAGCTAGTGTAAGCAATTCTCATGGATGAAGAAGAGGCATTCAGACTCTGAGGCCATGCTTCTGATAATGGACTGGGGAACAAGACCCATTCCCCTTCCTTTCCTCAATTCTTCCTTGGTATTAGCAGCATTGATGACTGAGTTTGTTTCTCAAATTACAAAACATCAACACATTTGGGAGATGAAAGAGTTAATGTATGGATTACACTAAGAAATCTTTTACAAATCATATTCGCTGACACAAGGACCTACTGCCTACCCAAGAATTCCTATTACACTGCAAAATTTATTTTAAAGGGGTTCTCATAATTATTTATAGACTATTTTGGACTATTTTTAAGATTGCTTTGTACTATTTTATTTACCCACACATACTGTATATTATTGCATTTAGAACTTTATGATCATTCCTGTACTTTTGTGGCGCAGTAATTTTTTTCTTTGTTGTTCTTATTGATCTCCTGAAGGGTTTAAAGGGATCTGCTTCTTTTGGTTTGCTGCCTTCATTTTGCTTAATTAGCATTAAACCTGCTCCCTTTTTCCCTTTCCTCTAGTATAGCAATGAAACAATTTAGTAGTTTAGAATATTACTGTAGTTAAATAATAACACTTACTGTAACAACAAACATATTCTAATAAGTTATAAATTATGCTATAAATGATTAATAATTTGAATACTGAGTGTAAATTCAGAGTCTACATTCTGCTTTTCTAGCTTTTGGACAATATTTATTTAAGAGAGGCTATAAAACAAACAAAATACATAAACACACTTGATATAAGTCAGTATATGATGTTACCAAACTATTCATTGATTGAATGGAAGTACATATGATCCTCACTTACTGACCGGGTTACGTTCTTCCGACACGGTCGTATAATGAAATGGTCGTTAAAGGACCACTATAGTGCCAGGAAAACATACTCGTTTTCCTGGCACTATAGTGCCCTGAGGGTGCCCCCACCCTCAGGGACCCCATCTGCCAGGCTAGATGAAGAGGAAGGGGTTAAACTTACCTCTTTCTCCAGCGCCGGGCGGGGAGCTCTCCTCCTCCTCTCTGCCTCCTCTCCTCCTCTTCGGCTGAATGCGCATGCGCAGCAGGAGCTGCGCGCGCATTCAGCCAGTCCATAGGAAAGCATTCTCAATGCTTTCCTATGGATGCTGGCGTCTTCTCACTATGATTTTCACAATGAGAAACGCGGAAGCCCTCTAGCTGCTGTCAATGAGACAGCCACTAGAGGCTGGATTAACCCATTTATAAACATAGCAGTTTCTCTGAAACTGCTATGTTTATAAAAAAAAGGGTTAACTCTAGCTGGACCTGGCACCCAAACCACTTCATTAAGCTGAAGTGGTCTGGGTGCCTATAGTGGTCCTTTAAGTAAGGATGCTCTAGATAGGAATTTCCAACAAACCTAGACCATCTCACTAGTGCAGGGAATCCCTTGAATATATGTTTGGGTAAAATTCCCTAGAATATATGTTTGGGTACAATTTACTAGAGCAGTTAATCCTTCAAATTCCCCGAATATAGACCAGGTCTCTAACGTGAGGAATCCCTTGAAGTGCTAGAGAGCTCTTCATATGTCTGAGCAGTCATTGTAGGTAAGTTACTAAGTGAGAAATACCTGTATCTAAATGAAAGAAATGAGGATTATCATTCCTATGTTCTGCAAATCACGTGTTCTTCAATCAGGTGCAGAGAGAGAGAGATATGAGCAGGACTTAAAAGGATAAGTCCCCCTCCTTTTGCTGGGCACATCTACCTTAGCAAATCTTCCAGTCCTATTCAACACAGACCAGAGTGGCTGTTGGGGGAAGGGAATTGCATTAGCAGGGACTGGGGGGAGGAGGGGGAGGGGTTGACCGACAGCCTAACTGGTTCTACCTGAATCTAGCCATGTGTTTTTAGACACTAAGTGTAGAAAGCTTATTACTTGTGCCCTTTAAATATCAATACTAGAACACGACTTTATTGACATATAGTTTGTTATCAATATTTTCCCCTTTACAGCCAATATTCCCTATTTATACAAGTCCAAGCTAATTGTATAAATAGGGATTATTGGCTGTAAAGGGGAAATTATTGATATATTCTTAAGACAACACACCTGAATAAATCCAGATAACAGGGCGCCACAGTCACTTAGGATGCCGACACAATCTCCAAAAAGACAAGGGGGGAATAATCAGTGAAAAAATGTAACACCAAATTTATTGAAAATTACCATATAAAAGCCATATAATGGCAAAGGCACAATATATGTGCAAAACTTTGCACATATATTGTGCCTTTGCCATTATATGGCTTTTATATTGCCATTATATGGCTTTTATATTGCCATTATATGGCTTTTATATTGTAATTTTTTTCACTGATTATTCCCCCCCTTGTCTTTTTGGAGATTGTGTCGGCATCCTAAGTGACTGTGGCTCCCTGTTATCTGGATTTATTCAGGTGTGTTGTCTTTGGTATATTGAGGTTGGGAGTAACCTCTGGACAGTGGCTGGCCTGCACTTTATCCTTATTTATTTTATTATTGTCTTTACCCACTCATCCCCTTTTCATCTTGATATATTCTTAACTTTAAAGCACTGAGTTAAAAGGCACATATCTGCTTTGCAGTGGAATAAAATGATCAAAATTCAATTGTCTTTGTCATATTAGACTGATTGCCAAACTGAACACCACTCCCCTCCTTCAACATCCTATATGGTGAACTTTGAGTCAATTTATTGGATCAATCTCTGTCAAAGTTTGAATAAAGATTTTTTATTTAATTTTTTTTACTAAGTGTTTACACACACATTGCATTTTCACTCTGAGTGTCATTAAGGATGATGTAACAAACTGCTTCAGTCATTTTGTATTCATCTACATCCAATGAGTACTTCAATATGTGCATGCCCATGTTTATGTGAAATTAGACAGTCAGATGAAATATAAGATCTAAGTTTTATCTGCTTGCTCTGATATTATCTGTATCATTATACTAACCAATATAAAACATTGCCACAGTTTCAGTAGCATTATGTTATATGTCTCAATGGAAGAATAAATGGAAGAATAAAAAAAAATCAAAAAAAAAATCATTAAAATAAAAATGAAAACGTCCTAACTTAATTTTCAATATTACTTACCTTTATCATCACTAAAACTTAACTGAAAAAATGCAAATCTGGAGCATCTGGAGAATTGGGATGCCGGTGGGAAGGAGGTAAAGGGGATTGGTGAGTGATATAATAGTCTCACTAGCTGCAGCCCAAAAGGGGTGGACCAACACACATTTATTGCAGTTCAGCTTGGTATGAATACACTAGACTGCCAGTCCATCACTTATGCGGACCACTGAGGGCAGAATATGCAAGGAGCACTGTTTCAATGTCCCCTACAGGGACCTAGTGCTCTGTACATAGCACAAGCATGTCTTTTGATGCTCTCATGCAATGTTTGTTAAGGGACAGTTCCCTGGTGTGCAAGAAAGCAGGACAGTATGGAATTAAGGTGAGACAGTGGGACAGGATTGAGACTGTCCTGCTGAGATTGGTATGGTTGGGAGGCATTATAAGAAAAGCAAGAAATGGGACTAGAAAAGTCCTGAGCAGGAGAGTAATGGGGGGAAGGGGTCCCTACCTTTAATAATCCTAAGGGAAAGCAAAATAAAATAGGACAGGAAAAATAATAATAAGGGAAAAAGAAAGGAGGTGGAAAGAGGAATGTGTAGTGATAGACCATCCAAAGGCAGGTGCAGTTGACTATTTACAGTGGTTACTGTCTGGGTACAGCATATAGCTTTTGGGTGTTTATTTCTCCCTATAGAGGCATTTTTAACCTCTTCCAGCCTAGTTTGGTGTTACCTTACCTCCATCTACCTGGGTGTTCCACCTATGAGGCTTAGAGTGTATGTAGCCTAGACCTGCAGTTAGAGTACTTGCCAGGCAGATCTTTTTCAAGCTGTCAATTGATCTCTGCGTCTGCCTTTGGATGGTCTATCACTACACATTTCTCTTTCCACTCCCTTTCTTTTTCCCTTATTATTATTTTTCCTGTCCTATTTTATTTTGCTTTCCCTTAGGATTATTAAAGGTAGGGACCCCTTTCCCCCATTACTCTCCTGCTCAGGACTTTTCTAGTCCCATTTCTTGCTTTTCTTATACTGTTATTTTCGTGGGTTATTCCCCATTTAGGGAGAGTAATTTTAGGGCTCTCTGTGCACTGGTTCACTGGTCAACGTTGTGACCTCTGAATCAGAGCCTTTATTGTTCTTCATGGTTGGGAGGCATGCCAGCTGCATAATTTAAACATTGAATTTTCCCAGGACTGCACTGGGACAAAAAAAAAAAAAAAAAAGAGAGATTTAAATTAATTAATTATATTAGAAACATAGAAACATAGAATGTTACGGCAGATAAGAACCATTCAGCCCATCTAGCCTGCCCAATTTTCTAAATATTGATTATAATTAATATTAATTATAACAGCAACAAAAAAAATGTTTCTTTTTGCATGTAATGCATATCTATTGTAACGGCACCCTTAGCATAAAAGGGGTTAAAAGCCGTTTAGTAGATCTTCCCTTCCAGAGACACAGGCACAGCTACTGCAGAACACCAATCCGCCGAACAGGAAACCATACGAATACTGTAAACAGCCGAATAGGAAAAAACATACGAATAGGTTTACACTCCTAGCAGTCAAACTGGAACAGCATACAGTAAATCCCCCCCAAGAACGAGACAAAGCTCCGTGTTGAGGGTCAAGCAGCGAACAGACAGAGCTGTGAGTTTATTGTTCTTATATACACATTAGTACCCCGCACAGGGTTTTGGAAAACAACAAATAAACATGTACAATACACTCAGACACTCTCACACAAAATCCTCCCCTCTGCCTGTGATACAATTACCTTACACAATGGGTAATGTAATTATAACAGCCAGAGAAATACAGGTTTTACACATTATTCATAACTTGAAAAGTATGCATCACATTTACATTTTCAGAATCAGCATACTCCAAATACAAACATACGTCAAAATCATACAAATTGGTCCATTGGTTCAAAAGATAGATCGTAGTCCTTTGTAACCAAATGAAGCATGGCTTTTCTGCCCAAAACCAGTTCCACAGAGTCTTCTATCCTGGAGATAATTGGGATGTAATCCAATTATCTCCAAGGACAGAGGCAAAACTCCATTAAGCACATGGCAGTAAAAAGACAATAAAACACATCAAAATATATAACTGTGCAGCCATTGCACAAAACAGGTACATTCAACATATCCCCAGATAGCTCAGATCTGAGCGTACATTATTACTGAATGGCGCTCAGAGCACATACATACAGTTCAATTGCCATGGAGCCAAAGTCTTTCCCATAGTCTTTCATTATACGAATGGGCTCCATGGCATAGCTATCTGGGGTATCACTGCTCAACAGGGCCAGCACCGAATGGCCCGGCTTTCATGTCTTCGCAGGAGTTTCAACATAGTCTAAATGCAGCAGGCGGGCAACCAGGCTCCTCCAATGCACAGTGGCGAGATTGGACCGTTAATGCATTTGTTTGTCATGTTTCGTATGACACATAATCTATGCAATGGGGCATGTGTGTTCAGCATATGTATGTTGAAGAACACTGCCACATGTCTAACCACTTCTAAAGGGTTATTCTTTTAGTGGGTTATCACTAAACTCATGGCCAGAAATGCCTCATATGTATAGCATACAAGATAAGGTGCCTGGCTGTGGGGCACCTTAAATAGCAGTCACTTGGGTTCACTAGGGCCTTGCTTTGACAGTGTGTTTATAACTGACATATTTTTGACTGGCATTGTGAAGGATTGCATGGAATTGCCTTGAAATGTCTTATTCTCATTAGGTTTATCTCTAAATCCTCTCTTTGTGTGATTTAAAGTTACCAAATTATAAAAAAAGTTGCTGAAATATAACACTTACTCATATATCCTATTTAAATGTTCTCACTTATAAATGCTACAGTATTTTCTGGTTTCTGTTTATTTATTTATGTGCTTCATTGCTTGAATTCACGAGGAACACACTGCAAATATTTAAGGAGTGGCTTATACAATGAATATCTAACAAGTGACTGTTAATTCAAATGGAATCCTGTCATACTGTTCATTTTCATGTGCATGTCCCAGGCTGGATATATACAATTTCTGTTCTTTTTAGAACTATTAGAACAGTGCTATTCTCTCAATTTAATATATTGACATTTGCTTGCTTGTCCAAGGATTAGGTGGTCTGTTTGCAAGTAAAACTAAGGTTTACTCCAATAAAAAAAGTAAACACTAGAGATAAAATACATAACAAACATGGTCCCTTGAAAGATATGGGAATTCTAATGTAAAGTCTCATTGCAGGTCTTGTTTTAACCCTTTATTTGTGATGGTACTCTTTATTAATTTTGTTTTGCAATATATTGCCTTGCAAGAAACCTCTGCCACAATGGTTCATTGAACAGCAAACAGGAGGTTGGAGATGTTGGTAAGGGGTCAGGCAGCTAATCATTTAATGTAGCTGGACAATAACCCTACTGTAATTGTTACCTATCTAAAAAAGAAATCCCATTATAATACTTATCTTAAACACAGGGGTGTTGCTGGGGGAACTGGTGGGGTCTGGAGGCCCAAGTGAGGTAATGAAAAGCCTAAGGTATAATTTTGACCCCAACTGTTTGTTAGCCTCAAGTCTAAAACATTTGATTACATAATTTGCGACAGTCCCACCTTAATGGGTCATATTCAAAGTCAAATGTAGATAATGTTGTGGTATTGCTCTAGTTGCACTGTTTTAGTTCAAGGGGTTCAGGGTTAGTTAGCTCAATGTGGTTCAGAGTTACTACAGCAGACATTGATATAACAAAACAAAATGTGATGGTATACAATATGTACAATGAAAGAAATCTGCAAACACCGATGTGCAATTCTCAAATATACTCAATAATGAATTATGAAAAAATACTAAAAACATGAACCAATATCTTAGTAGTGGAGCGAGCAGAAAAAAAAAACCGAAAAAAACTGTGAGTATTAATTACTGAATATTGATACTGGAAACAGTTT